TGATCTTACTACATGTTGTTTTAATCAATGGTAACAAATGAGCAAATATTGGTTATAACATAAACTATATGAAGACATTTAAGTAATCAAGAGAGTATTCATCACCTTACATGAATTAGTAAAAATATTTTATTTGTTTTCAAATAGTATTGGTTGTAAATCCTTGTGTAAGGTGGAAAGAAATTTGAAATGAGTTTCAAATCGTATTCAAAGAATCAATAATTATAGTGTTGAGAATACATATGATTTGACAGAGTAGACACACTCCATGCTATTATATCTTAATTATAACATTGTTGATAAAGGAATAATAATTACACTAAGAAACTTATCACTGAAAGATTAAGTTAAATCATTTATGACTTTTCTAATATTTGAGAGATCATGACAGATTGCTATATATTATACTATATTGAAGGATAAAAAATCAAGAAAAAAACTATTAAAAATAATTAAAGGACAAAAAAAAGCATATCTGGCCAGTAAGTGAACTATCAAACTTATAAACTAAGTAACCCAGGCTAGTATGCCAAACCTGTGAATGGAGTTATTGACTCTAGTGGGATTATAATTTGTTTTTTGAATTTTTTTTTACTTAATTACATGATAACAAAAATAGGTGATAGCAAAACCAAATACCAATCTAATACCGAAATATTGAAAACAGTAATGAAAAAAGAGAGAGTTAAACTTAGACTTTTTCTATAAAACTATTTTTTTTAGAATATGAGAAAAAAATAGGCAAAAAAAAAAAAAAAGAGTCAAGTTGAGTAAAGAGAGAGAGAGAGAGGAAAAAAATACCTAAGAAACCCATTTTGGGTTCACAATTTTTTTCTGTAAAATTAAAAAAACTAAGAAATAAATATAAATCAAAATATTTAATATTGTAATATGGGTAATTTACCTTATTATGTTTAATAGATTTGGTTATTTAAATCAAATTAAAATTAAAATCGATAAATACATAAGATTTATTGGATAAAATAAAAAGAAAAAAACTATTATGCAAGGTTGCACATATAAAAAATATCATAATAAATAAAATTTTTTAAAAATAAATTTGATATATATATATATATATATATATATATATATTAAGAAAACTATAAATGAATAATACGAATGTCTTAAAAAATAAACAAATCCAAAATTATTAAAACTTAATAACTATTTGAAAAAAAAGGATAAATAAGCAAAAAAAATAACAAAAAAGTAAAATATAAATTTAAAAATTATTTTAAAAAACAAATAAAAAAATTATAAAAAAGAGCAAATATTGAGGTCATGCCTAACGCTTAGCCTATGCCTAAAGAGCCTAGTCTTGCGATTCTTTTTTGTAAGATAATACGGTTATACAACATTTTATGTAAAGGTTAATTTAAAAAAAATGACACATCATTTAACATATTTAGATTCTGGTTACTGTGGTGGTTGTAAAATCAAGGTGTCTAGTTTTTGTCCTCTAAAAATCAAATTTCAACCCATTTTCAACCCCAAACATCTAGAAAACACTTTCATAATTATGTTCAACCTATCCTTAACTCCAAAAACACATAAAACTTTTCCAAAACCAAGAATGAATACAATTTCTTTACTAGATTATATATGTATTTTTGAGGTATTTTCAAGGTAACAAAGCACCTAATTCAAATACTCCCCTCATTATATAAAACCATATGAAACAAAAATATAATATTTTAGTGGTTAAAATTATTGAAATGAAAAACTCTCTCTAAGCTGGATTCTAGTGATTGCCTCTCTCTTCTCTCACTAAATAAAGACTAAAAAATGATGAAATTGAATTTTAATACTGAAATGAATATTTAAAAAAATACAAAGGACTAGTGACCTTAAAGCAAAAAATTATAGGGGACAAAAATGTGCTCTACCAACAAATTTAAACACACTACCTATGTTACTTGTGCATTGTACTCCAATCACCTGTCTTGCAATTCCACCCTTATATATATAAAAAAAACATGTGATTTCATTCATTTTGGTAGCCAAAATTATTGAACAACACCTTTTTCTTTCTAAACTGGATTATAATGATTGCCTCTTTCTCCTTTTACTCAATAAGGATTGAAAAATGATAAAATTGAATTTTAGTACTGAAATGAATATTTGAAAAACACAAAGAATCAATGACCTTAAAACAAAAAAAATATGGGGGAAAAAATATAATTCACAAACAAATTCGAACGCGCCACTTATTTCACTTATGTATTCTTACAATTCAACCCTCATCCCTTAAAAAACATGCAATTGAACTCGAAGGAGGTTTAATTATGCAAAATAAATGTTTGAGAATCAAATTAAAAATTGTAAAAAGTTTCACTATTATAATCTAGTAAAATATGAGAGGGTGAATAGTGATATGGCTTTAATAAAAACACCTTATTATTTAGCTTTATAAATAATAATAATAATAATAATAATAATAATAATAATAATATATTGGTACGTATTAATTTTGAAGTGTTATTTTGTATGTTTAATTATATTAACTATTAGGATGAAAGCATGTATTATAAGGTTTTTGTAAGATGGGATGGTTTGTTTCTATCCTTAATTAAAAAATAAAAGCATTAATTAATATCATAGATATAAGCTTTGTTTTAGCTCATGACTTTATTATTATTTTTTAATTAAAGTGGGTGTCGGGTAGCTTGCATGTACTTTAACTAATTTTACGGTCTTGAAGTTAACGAAACTTCTAGTGGCTCTGAGGTTTGTGAAACTCGAATGGGTGATATCTAAAAAATAAATTTAGAATTTGATTAGTTGAATTATACTTAGTAGGATTAACTCATGACTTTATTCAAAAGGACAATTTGAATTGATTAACTTTTACATTGATACGAGTTTATGAGGTTTTTTTAATAAAATTATATTGTTTTAAGTAAAAGAAATTAAAAAAATTGTTGATAATATTATAAGTTAATGTGTTATATAAAATAACTTTTACGAGATTAACTTTCTAAATAATTAGACTCGAAATTAATAGGTCTATAAAAAGCTATGCCGGACTGGGTTTGATAGTAATTGTATGTGAATATCTATCTTATTCTAGAGCCCAAATCCCTCGTGAGGAACCTATGTATTTATGTTTTTTAATTTGTTTGTAAGTGTGGTTGTAATTATTTTTTAAAATATTTTTTTATTTAAAAATATATTGAAATAATATATTTTTTAAAATTATTTTTAATATTAATGTATTAAAATGATCTGAAAACAACAACAAAAAAACATTAATTTTAAAAAATATTTTTTTAAAATTTTTTTAAATATTTTTAATTCACAGAATCAGATCGTGATGGAATTTGACATTGTAGAGCATCACCATTGTTTTGTAAAATGGATTTATCTGCCCCGTTTATTTGTTGATTTTTTTTAAATTTTTTTAAATATTTTTAATTCACAAAATCAGATCGTGATGGAATTTGACATTGTAGAGCATCACCATTTTTTTGTAAAATGGATTTATCTACCCCGTTTGTTTGTTGAAAAATAGTTTTCTTTTGAAAAGTGAATTCCAGAAAAGTGAATTTCAGGAAAATGAATTACTTTCTGATGTTTGGTAATGCAATGAAAAATAAGTTGGAAAACAGTTTCGAGTGTTCGATTATATCATGGAAAAAGAGCTGGAAAATAACTTATTAATATTTTATTTTTCTCAAGTTTATTAAAATAATAAGAAACAAATCTTACAAATTAAATAGTTGAATGAGAATAAAATT